TAATAATAATAATAATAATCTTCCCTTATGCCACTGGATTTCCTGTGACCAAAACAATGTATGGGACTAAAACAATCTTTTTTATGATCATAAGGTTCTACATTAAAAAGTCTATGTACCCGATGCACATTACTATTCAAACAAGAAATGCGGGCGGTTCGCGAACCAGACAGCCAAAGAACTTAACAACACATTCAAATATACTGCTAATTAATTCTGTCTATTCATCACCACCACACATCTGAAGTGGCACAGCACAGATCTGCTCTGATTTTCTGACCAATACAAAAACTGCTCATCAATATATTAATGAGAAGATCCTGCACATGACATCCTTTTTAAAGTTTGTTCAAAAATTGAACAGTGAATTAACAGCTGCATTTTATTATTTCAGTTCACCATGTCCACCCCAAACGAATGTTGTTTCAATTGTCACACCATCCTGGATGAAATACAGCTGTTATGATGATTACAGATAGCATGACAGACATCGGATGAACAAACAGAACAAGACGATTAAACAATTAGCAGCCGTTTCCACATGCATTCATTAGAGCCCCACCATGGAAATCATTTTCCCCTACTGATAACCAGAACTATAAAGGACATTTTTCTAATATGCATCTAATCCTCTATATTCTACTGTCATTCAGTAAGGCTGCTAATCATTTTTGAAGACAGCTGTGAAAGATGCCACAGATCATGAAGGATACTGCAGACTAAGCTGCAAAACACACTGCCACCACAGCACATCTGTGCGTCACATGACATGTGTCATGTGACATGTGTCATGCCATGGAGCTACACGTCAACAGGACTACACGGTGCATAAAATGGGTGGGTAATGCATATTGTAGTTGCTTGTTTTCTTGTCAATAACAAAACCTTCAGTGTGTAAATCCTTTCCTCAGCACCTGTCAGTCTTCACACCTGCAGTACAGCTGTTCAGGCAAAGTCTTTTATGATATATATTGGTGAGACTGGGATGTAGAGCTCTGAGTGTGACTCTAGCCCTCTGATAAGTCTCTCATCCATTGACAGCTTCAAGACCACAAAAGAAGACAATCTGTCACTGACAGGAAGTCAAAGTACAGCAGCTGGAAGGTGTGTTCTGCAGAGAATTCTGCTGCTCAGGGGATGTCTACACTGGATAATGGGACAGAGGAGTAAACTGTCACTGGGCGGTGTGTCCATTCGTGGCAGTGTGTCTCGCCACTTTGGGTGTGTGGGTTTACAAGGCAAAAAATAGGCCTGTCGTGACGTGCGTCATATGGTGGTAGCGTGTTTTGCACTTGACGTGATGCTCCACTCAAAACCTATTTCTGATTATCAAACGGTCAGCCCTGCAGGCTTGACAGGTGGCTGTAAAACGTTTATACCTTCATTTCGGTGGAGCGCAGTGGCTGCAGTCTCCTTGATATCATGTCAGTTACAATGGACTCCAGTAGTGATCAGTTTTCACGGTTGGAAAAATGTCCATTAAACCTCTTCTTGCAGCATAATCTATTTTTCCACTGGCCACCTCTATGACTGATCAGTATGTTCTCATTTTTGTCTGCAGGGGGTGAGTGTTTGAAGGATAGATTTTAAGTGGAGCACCTTCACCCTCAATTTGCAAGTGATACTGACATAAATGTTAGACCATCTACAGTACTATGGAGATGACAGACAGACTGAGCTGGGCTTGAATCCAGGCAACCTCATGCTGTGATGGAAAGTTTGAAATGATCAGGCAACAGCGACACAGAAATGGCGTTTCCCTTTTATTACCTTATTAACAAAATTTCATCTGATCTCATGAGATAAGCTCTACGCACTTTCTATCACAAGATCAGTGAAGTTTGCAGGCTATATTTGGGGAAGCATGCAACAGTCAAATCAATTTCATGAACTCTGATGAGATCATTCCTTGGGGTTTTCAAGAAACAGCTGGGAAATCTTCAATAAAAAGGGGATTATTTGATTTCAGTGGGGGTTTTGTCAAATCTGGAGGCATACTTTGCAACACTACTCCAGTACATTTCTGTGCCACGCGGATTTCATACCTGATAGATCCTGTTTAGATGTGCCTGTAGGAAGAAAATGTAGTGCATGTAATGGACTGGCTTCAGAATTCCTCTATGAACTACAGTATCTCTCTTAAGCATTTTCCCCCTCATTACCTCTCATCTGTAGCAAGACACCAAGACCTTGAAGAACCAGACCATGTGGGCAATAGATGTACGCGAATACCAATCAGGTATTCATTGTGTTTGATGGTTTGCATATGTAATATTGTACAAGACATTTCCCAAAGGACATAGTATCAAGGATGTTAGGATGGTATTTAAAAAGGCTAGCTCTTAACCAATGCAGTGACAAAATAAATTTGAAAGATGGTAGCAGGATATCCATAGATAAACATTATAAATTATAACATTTTAATATAAAAACTTCTCAATCACCAGCATGAGCAGAATAATGATTGAACGGTGATTGAAAATGCTAAACAAACACTTGATCATTCAAGTGCTCATTCTAGCAAACACCGTACAATAAGAAGCAGACAAAGTTTAATTATTGCCTCAAATTGCATGCTTATTTTGGGAATGTTATAATTGGGTTTCTGATGCAGATTTCCTTGACATTTGGGAAAACTCAAGTCAAATCTGAGTGTACTCCACATTACTGGCTGAGTTTCGCTGAGCTAATTACATGAGATCCACTGGGCCATCTCGAAGGAGTTGCTAATTTAGGGGAAATAATCAGCGGTACATAAAACTTGTTGAGGATGTTTCACAATGAAACTGCAGGACTCCCCGCACCTGCACATGATCAATATACCTCCTGAATTTAGGTTAAAGGTATTCAATTACTCTCCTTGAGACACCGGCATCCTGCAGGTTTGTGTGCCTCCCTGGTGGTTGCTAGTCAGTGTGTCCCAATTCCACATACTAATAATACATACTATAAACAAGACATGTAGTTTTTCATTTTGTACATATGGGATCTGATGCATGATATTCATTGATATCGCTCAACTTTAGCAATAATCAGAAATATCACCATTTGAAAGTAAAATAATTGTTTTCATGGATTTATTTCTATATTAATTATTTCCTGCACTGTCAAGGACACCGGCCCTCAAGTACCTACAATTTAGATATTTAGCTTCAACTGTGATCAATACTTTTTCGTTATTCATTATTTTACCTGTTCTCCTTCAGTGAAGACGCGCTCACCGAAGCTCCAGCTGATAGTGGGAGTTGGATCTCCGGATGCCTCGCAAGTCAGAGTTACCTGCTCCTCCATCTCTGAAGTGCTCTGGTTTACGATGTACGTGATCTTAGGTTTGACTGTAAAGACAAACACAAAGTCATCACAACCGCACTAGAAGAACAAGTCAGCCAGGTGGTTTGGCAGCAAAAGTACAATAAGTAAAAGAGCAACTCTGTGGATTTGGGATGAGTTCAAAGGAAGGATGAGGATCAGTAGCTTGACAGGTGAGTGGGATTCTTAAGGCAGCAAAACTGTTTTCAAGCTTTTCCAGTCCCAGAAGCGGCAAAGTTGTGATAACCACGTATGGAGCCGAACTTAATTCATGTAATCATTTATTTTGCCTATCTCTAAGGAGCCGGTCTTTATTTTTGTTTACATTTGAGAGAACTGTCGCGTTACAGTACAACTAAGCTAACCTGAAAGCACAGCAGGGTGCCACAACTGTGACATGAGCAGAGCAAAGCAAATTGAAGTGCTACCTCTGAAGCGTGAGGCTGAGCATTACTCTGTGCTTTCATATTTTTCCTCCCTCTCCATGAAGGGTGAACGCATGGATCAAGTAATACATTCGCTAAATGTAAGCCTATTGAATATTGTACATATAATTTACACTTTTTTGCACGAGAAAACATTTGTAACCTTGTATTAACATGCTGTTATCTCAACCAGTAATTATCAAATATACAAAGGAACAGCTGTGTTGTCATTAAAAGTATTTGAACATGCAGCAATTTGTGTTCACAGTTAAGGGTGTCACAAACCGATTGGCAAGGATGGGATCAGAGCTGATTATAATTCTTTTGAATGGATTGAAAGAGCTACCCTGTATTTCTGATATTTTTCTATCGTAAGAAAACCCTAGATTTATGCTTTATGCTAGAACCGCTTTCTAGCATAAAGCATTGTGAGCGATGGCCCATAGAAGGGCACAATCAAATCACCAGTGTCCAGTAGTTTCAATAACAGTAACCACGCTCACGATGTGTGTCAGCAAGGAAAGTGAACAGAGCTGCTTTGAGTATTTTTTTAGGTACACAAAGCCTCTAAAAAGCTTCTGCTGCTGTCTGACAGCTGAATTTAAATGTCAGTACTTTGTTCATTCTGAAGAGAAAGAAATCCTGCCTAAACCTGGCTGCCACGACAGCTCCACACTGACACTCACACAGAGTTTTCTCAAAAGATGTTGATACATAACATAACGTATAAAATGCTCAAACAATTCGCAAAACTATGTTCTAATTTTAATGTAGAGCTATTTAAATAATCTAATAATGAATTTGATCAATTTGATTGAGGTCCTACAGAATCACATCTTCTCTTACAGATAAAACAGTATTGGCTATTTGATATGATAGATGTCTGTATTTAGTCTTTATTTAGTCTGTGCTCTTCTCACTGGTTTGAAGTGGGTGAGTTCCAGTTGGAGACATACTTGTCACATACCTCTGAGAACCTTGTTGCCAGCACTGTCAATCAGATTGATCAAAAAACACCCACACAGACCCGATGAAGCTGGGTTTTTAGTGTTAAATGACAAATAATACCTAAAGCTCCATTTGGACAGCACTCCTGAGTAATTTAACACATCATTCTGGACGGCATTTAAACCATCGGGACATGACAGGATGTGGTCTGTAATAGACATGGACATTCATCAGGACAAAGCGAAAAGAGAGCCAAAAGCTTCACCGGGGGGGTGGAGGGAGACTTGAGCCAAAGTTGAATTTGAGTCAAAAATGTTACGTTCTCACACAAAAGTCAAACATCCCACTGATGGAAAAAAAAAGTAGACAAACATTTCACACAGAAAAAAAATGAAGGTCCACTTTGAAACGAAGGACATCACTCAGGACGGGATTTAAATTAAATTAAAGGAGGACCGGTGTGTCCCTGAATAAAAGCAGGTAATTGTGACTAATTATTACTGGGGTGGGAGTAAATAATTTGCCAAATATGCACTCTGAGTGGGATTAAAATCACTGACCAGTGCAGATAAAACCACCCACCCTCCACTAGAGAAATAAATCCAGTCCAAATGCAGCTTAAGAATGCTTTTTTTTTTGAACATCACTTTTAATCAGGAGCTTTAAGGCCGCACTGTGCAGCTGTAATATGTAAGAAATATAAATATCTAATCAGACTTGGTATTGACAGGTACTCAGTATTCAAGGACTCATCAAAAACAGTGGGGAAAACAGGAAAAAATAGGAAAACACATTTATACAGCTTTTATATGCAAAAGTGGGAGCTTACAAAGAAACGCATGACTGCAGCTTTTCCCACATTGATGTAAAGAGACCAGAGCTTTGAGAGTGTGAGAAAATCTTCGAGATAATGAGGTAAATATTGCTAAAGAGGTAAACAATGTGCTTTGAAAGCTGTCGTCACTAATTTTATGGTAATTGTTTACGCGTTGAGCTCTAAAGATCCAGGCCCTGGCCACCTCTGTTATTTAGGAAAATGAGCTGCACCAGATAACTCATTGTAAAGTTAATTGACAGAAAAACTGCATGAACTGATATTGTGTTTCTGGTTATGGATTATTATGGTCGTCGTTGCATGACAAAGTACAGAAAACAACAACAACCTAGTGGGCAAAAGTGAAGGAAAAACGATTTCAAAGGGTTCAGCTAAGCTCATCCCACTTGGCCAGTTCTCTAAATCCTTAAGCTTCAGCCTTACATGAAACAACCACAACCCACACTGAAACAACACCTCTTCTTGTATCCCTTAGAAAACAGACACATAACCATACTATTGTTCCTCCCCCACCTACATACTCTTATACCTCATTCCCACACACTTGGAACAATTTATATTGTCACTTAAGTTCATGTATGTATATAGAAACACCTTACCAAACACTCTCAGACTGAGTTCCTGCTCACTTTCCCCAGCCTTGTTCTTGGCAATGCAGGTGTACTCTCCCTCATCCAGCTTGGTGACATCCATTATTGTCATTTCTGAGCCATCTTCATTATAGCTGTACTTCTCTCCGGCCTCCAGAACGGCTTCGTTCCTGTGGAAAATGTGTGGTAAACCTAATAATCAATTTCAAACATCATTCTTAAAGTGCACCTTGTTATAAGCTTTTCTTTCCTAATCGTGACCCATAGGTCTTTAGAAAATAAGCAGTTTCTAGATCCCTGAATGACAAAGTGAAGAAGTAGAAGAGGTTAAAGCTTAAAATCTCAGAGCAGAAAATGTATTCAGAAAATAAGGGCGATGATGTTTTTTGACCTGCAAGACCTTTGACATTTGGTGTTAAGAATCAATTTGAAAATAAATGGCTAATGTATTTTTATTTTGTCCTAGTGGAGTATAAATAGTTTGTCACCACTGAGAGCCGTGTAAGGAAGATAATGTTCTCTGGCCTCTGACTGTCTAATCGCTCATAATACAGCTTTCAGCGAGTTTCAGGTCCCGTCTAACTGCACAAGTAACAAAAAACATATTCCAAGGGCAACAAAACAGGAAAAACCAAGGCCAACGGTAGCTTCTGGGCTGTTTGCACCTTGTGCCCCCCTGCCAATGTAGGGTGTCTACACAGCTAACTGCTGTCTTGGAAACAAGATGAACAGGAACAGTTTAACAAAGCAAGAGCCTATCAATGGCTGTATTCAGATACACAGAATAATGTGGCTATTGATGACACTCCAGTCTTCAGGTTTCACTGTTTACATGCACCTTTGATACCCTGTGATTATGCATCCGGTTGCAATGAATAAACCATTTAGTAGAAAATCCCCAATATCCAGAGTGTCTAGTGTACACTTTGGCCTCCAGTTTGATGGAGGTTAACTGGTGCATACGACTAACACCATTCCTGAACAACCTCCTGTAACAGCCGAAGCAAAGAGAAGGTCTGGACAGGATATTCAGTCCCAAAAAAAAAAAAGAAGCCACATTTTTCTTGAGAAGCAGCGTTATGCATTCATCTGACAACAAACAAGCAGACTATAATGTAGCTTATGTATTCTGTTTCAGTAAAAACATTTTCTTTACATCACTATGTGATATTAATATAATAATGTGTTATATGTAATAATTTGAATAATCTTATATAATAATGTAAATAATTTTATGGTGAGTAAAATGACACTTTCCATGCAGTCCGGCTGTATTATAGAAACCAACAATCTTCATAAGACTGAAATATAATAGGCTATAACACAGTACAAAACATTGATTCTGTTAAATGAGACACAATAGAAACTACTGTATATATTATGCTGCAAATGTTGAAAGCATTTGTCTCTCCAGTTGCTCGCAAAGTTTTACCTTGTCCAGGTCACCATGGGTTCAGGATAGCCATCAACAGCACAAGTCAACATGGCAGGCTGCCCGACATCTGCTGTGGCATTCACCTCTGACTGCCATACCCTGATGGTCGGGAGCACTGAGACACCGAGAGATAGAATTAAATAGATAGAAAGAAAAACACATTGGTATATAGATACATAGTCACATAGGAAGATAGTAGGCAGAAAAACAGAGACAGATGCAGTGACAAATTCAGAACACTTATTTTAAGCACACTCATTCGCTAGGCTCAGAAGTTGCAGGAAACAGACTTCATTAGCATGGAACATCTTTGATACACGGTTGCTCTGGGCAACTGTTTCCACATTGATGTTGAGCCTGGTCGCCTCTGAGGATCTGCAGCTTATTTGAACGTCACGGGACACCTGCCACACAAAAACATGCACACAGGAACAAAAAGGAAAGAGGAAATAATGCAATGGAGAGAGGCCTGCTAACCGTTCACAACGACCTTGATGACCCGCAGATCAATCTCGCCGCGGGCCATGAGGCGACCCTCGCAGGTATATGAGCCCTCATCTGTCTTCTTTATGCCACGGATCTGAAGGTGATTGTTGCTCAGTACCTTAAACCGAACTGAAAGAAGGCAGAAGATAAATGTATAGTCAGGTGTGTTATATACGTACTTGACAAGTTTAAATTAGGCCACTGACCAAACTATCTGATCATAAACTGCTGATGTTGTGCTACCAAGAGGGTTACATAATGATGCAAAGGAACTCCTCCATATATAAAGAAATGTGTTGCCTGAATTAGTCAACCATGGCAAAGATTCACTTTGATATATCTGGCTGACAATTTATTAACACTTTAATACTGATGTCTGATTTAATCACTAAAATATCTGCATTATTATTATAAACTCAATGAACTTTTGAATTTTATTCAAGATCAGTTTGAAATATGCAATATTTTTGTCTGTCTAAAGGATACTGTTACATAAAAAACAAACAAAAAAATCTTTCGGACACATATGCTATTTCCACTTTGTCAAATTCCTATCTGTTAGCATGTCCAACACTGCTTCCACCATCTCCAGAAAAAGAGAAATACGGCCAAAGCCCACAAGAACTCCTTCAGTTTGAGATTAAATGTGAACCGAATAAATTTAATCATGTAGTAATTCAAAATACTATTACAACCCACATGTGAGCTTGTTTTATTATTTTTCCAGTGAGCAATACAAACAATACAATACACATTATGATATTGCTCAGTGTCAGGGGTGAATAACAGGGAATCAATTGTATTTTTCAAATTCAAAACCAAATTAATTTTTCCTTTCAAAGCTCAGGATAAAGCCTGGAGGAGAACAGCAACAAAAGCCATCAACACGTGGCTAAACCAGTGGTCCTATTTTGACTATGTAGTCTTGTGTACGTAGAAGTTTATTTCCATTACGGTTACAATAAATTGGTCACATTTTCAGCTTTAGTTTAATTTGTTTTAAAATATGCTTCACCTTGGTTGTAATGAGTTAATCTTCGAACATTACCTCTATACTACAATGATGTTGCTCTGATGTAAATCTTGCTTATGTTCAGGCCATATTACATGGTTCATATGGATAATCATACATCAAATACATACTATACATTTGAATGACTACCTAACTTCCCTGATTTACAAACTCAACTCACTTTGAAAGATTATTCAGATTTTTTTTTTTATATGATGGACAACTGTGCAAACTAGACCATGTAAACGTATTGTTGTGTTATTATTGTATGTATTAGCTAATGTTTGTTTAAGAGTTAGAGTTGAACAAAACACTAACTCAGGAATATTAAGAACGTGATCACCACATAATCACCAAATCCAGTCAAATAGAAAGATGATCCACATGTTGTTCAGAGAACTCTTACCATCTTTCTCCATCTGTATTTTTGCTCCTTTGTATTTCCAGAAGACAGTGGGTGGCGGCGAACTGATGACATCACAAATTATGTTGGCATTGTCTCCTTCGGTAAACTCTTGGGGTGACGGTGCGTTTGTGAAGGTGATTTTTTCTGGAATATAACATGCAGAACACTTTTTACTCATAGGTGTTACAGTACGAGTCTCATCAAAACACCATCTCCTTCAGGTAGTTTGACTGTTGAGAAGGAATACATTTTTATTCACACTTGTTAAGCAATTTAGAAAAAAAGGCTGTTGTTCCATACACAACAGGGTATTTTTAAAATCACACTAGCAATTTATTTTCAATTTTTCTGTTAGAAAAATGGTCAAACTTTTATGAGTGCTTGGCAATTTTGTCAATCACCACAGGTTTATACATACAAACAAATCCATGAAAAGGACTTCCTTTCCCATAACTTTGCTTTATGCCACCCCAAGCATATTAACTCTCTAAACAAACTCCTGACTCAATATTTTTTTGTTACCAGAGCCGAAGCATTTCTAAAACTAGCAAATTGGTTAATGAAATTTGCTGGGAGCTCTAAATGGCATGAAATGAAGGACTAATGTTACCTTACAGACTTGACTCACATTCAACTTCCCGGCTATAAAGCTACAATATTACCAGGGCTAAACACATGAAGATATTTTAAAAAATAAAACGCCAGCTGTAACCCGCATTGCCTGCAGGGGGCCCCAAGTGTTAAAATAGCAGCAGCTGTTATTTTTTTTGACTGCAGGTGACTTTGCATTAAATCTGCAAACTGCTGCTGTCGTCATACGTCCCTCTCCTATAGATGGCAGAAGTGGGCATGGGTCCAACTGCTAACAATGGCAGTAGCTTGCTAAACGTTTGTTTGGATGAATTAATGTGTGAAGTTTTGTGAGTTGACGATAAGCCATTTCGAAAAGGTGTTTTGCATGTATAAAAACTTTCCCCATTTTCTTAACATTTAACTGAGTCAAAACGAATGCTCATTTTAACAAATCGCAAATGGAAAAATGAGACCGCAATCTTATTTTGCGAATGACACTTTTTTATTGATTTTAATAGGTAATGTCTACATGGGTGAACACTTCTAATGATGACCTAAAATAGGAACTGAAATAACAGGAAAAGTTCTGTTTGGAAAAGGATTTCATCTCTGATGGACATTTGCTGATGCTTGGCATTCATGGAAAATAAAAGCCATTACTCACAAAAACTGCACAACAGACAGGATCATTAAGCAGCCCTCTAATGGTCTTCCGACCGTTTATTGAACTGATGAAAAATCCATCCTCACTTGAAAAGAAAAAGAGTAATGTGTTGCCCTTGAGCAGTCAATAAAATACTGTGAGTTCAATAAACAAGATTTTTTTTTCCTTCGGTGCTCATACCACTCAATAATTCTGACTGTACGGGTTGAGGAAAATACTTACGGAAGATTTTCACTCTGACGGTTGACTCCCCTTGCAGGTCTCCATTGGTAGCGACACATTTGTATGTCCCTGCATTTTCAGTCCCAGCTTTATACAGTGTGAGGGTGGAAGATGACTCATCGTTACGGGTTACTGTTATGTCTGGTCTGTTTGGTTCTATCCTGTCCCCGCTTGGTCCAAACCAGTCTATCTGCTTGGCAACACCTACAACTGAGAGCACAGTAAAGAGCAGTATGTTAGAAAACAGTCTAAAATATATGCATTCGACATCAGTGAAGTTCACCAGTGCTAACACACTGAATATGCTCCTGCATGGACAGTGGTTTGTGCATTTTAGCTGCTTAGAAATAATGACAAAGCATCAGCCAGTATGCCATTGTTTGCCTTGAACACGTGAAGGGCAACAGGAAACGCAGGACATTAAAGGGGATGTCATGCAACAAAGATCAATCATTAATTAGATAGATAAAGGCAACAAAGACGTTTCAGCCAAATGGCTGAAACATACATACACACAAAACACAGACCTATGTCTCTTTTGACATTTTCTGTCTTTTCAACTTCTTATCTTTTCAATAACTTTAGGCCATATCTTTAGAAGAATATAAAAAAAGAAGATAAAAATTGAAAATTGATAGGTTGGATGCAGGTTTGAAAAGTAGGGGTGTGGGGTGTTCACAGTCAAGATAAACATAAACTTACCTTCACACATGAAGAATTTGGATTCTCCAAGACTAATCTCACCCTGACTTGGTGTGATCTGCACTTCCAGTGAAACTACAACAGAAAAAAAACATACAATACAATATTTAGAAATCTGAAAACATAATGAATGAAGCACTGCTTAAGAATACAGAAATAATCAACACTGTTACAGCATTGTATTATATTATACTATAGGCAAGGAAAGAAGTAGCCACCTGTAGGCAATCAGTGCTACAACTGCAGGTTTTCGCCTTCATTTAAATAATTTATACTTTTTTTTTATTATTGGAAAGAGTATTGACACATGGGAGTTTCACGTGTTCTTTGTCCTCCAGTAATAAGAACCAAACTGCAGTTGCAGTCACAAAAAGAAAGTATTAAAGTAAAAAAAAAAAAACATTAAATACTCAAGCTATGACTCTCATTTCCTGCAGGTGGCAAAATTACAGCAGCTACTACTTTCTTTGCCTGTAGGTGGCAACACCCACACCTTTGCACATCAATATTTTTTACTGCGACTGAAAAGTACAGGAAAACTGTGGAAACCAATGCACACACACATCCAGAAACTAGCAGACCCTATTACCAAAAACATGGACATTCCCTATTCCTCTTTTGCCTGCAGTCTTCCTGCCCTTTCAAGAGATATAGCATATCGAGCAAATACTGCAATTATTAAGTTAACATTCAGCAGTTGGTAAGAACCAATGCTGTGCTCCCAGTGTACCTTGAGAGAAATTATATTCAAGATGCTTTAAAAAGTTATTAGAAATCCCGCTGTCTGTGTAGCGAGATAAATGCGAGTCGCTCAGTGCACTTAATCAAAGACCACATGAAAAAAGCTGATTTCTGTTATTTGACAGACAGAAGAATGGCCTGAAACACTTCTGTGCTTAATTAGAACAAAGCTTCGCTTGTTTCCTGCAGAATCTCCCAAGGGGGCAGTCAAGGGTTCCTGTGGTTGACTAAGAAGTGTGACTAAATGGGTCCAAAATCCAGCTCTATATTATGCATGAGATTGTGTATGTACCACCATCAGTGTGCGCACACACACACACTGGAGGCCAGAGAAAGAGTGGGCACACAGTGTTGTCAAGGGACACAGGGAAAGATCACGATGATGTCTAGTGAAGATGAACTGGAGTGAATAGTCAGTATGAGTTCTGTAATGCCAACAAATGAAGTGAACGGGGAGTGATCCATTTATTTTGGTCACATCCCTAAAAGTGAAATTCCCTTAAATGTAAAAAATGTAATGATTTAACACTGGAATCATAATATAAGTTTAAAGAACATTGGCCGATTGCTTTCTGTCCAACAATTCATTAATTCTACTGGACTAGAGCTACACAATGTATGAACCCATGTAACTGCTTGCACATTGTCATTATTTTTACTAAGAGTTTAATCACAGTTTAATTAGAACTTTCATCTAATTCCACCTTTTGGATTTCCTCAAACTGTATAAACCTTTTTAAATGTGTTGTCTAAAGATGAACAATTACTGGGCTCAAATACTCGGCACAAAGAGCTAGGAATGACTAGCTTGAGATTGATCAAATTTAAATTGCTTGGGGATTTCTTTTCTTTTTTTCGACAAATCCCAAAGATATAAAGTTATTTAAGACTAATAAAATAGCTGGAATAGAGGAAATAAAAGCTGCAACCACTGAATTTAGGGTTTTTTTATGCTTATACTTCAAAAACTGATGGATTAATGATTAGCGATTGGATCGCTTAAGCCCATCAACATCCCAGAATAACATACAAGATCATAATAAATGATACTGAACAGGCTCAAGTGTAAGAATGTCACCTGTCTTTTGTATATTTCTATCCAGTCTCTATTATTGTTTTGGTTATATCATTACTAATCAATGCAGGAAAGATCCATGTGAACAAGGTGAAAACCAAAGCAGGCATTGTTTTTAGCGAGTGGTTAAAACTAGAGAAATAATTAGATAATTAGTTTCTGGTACTGATTATCCACAATCAGGTATTTCACCATCATCCATCCTACTATTCATATCAGCTTTATAAGAGGTAGGCATCCAGTACATGGCTGAGAAGACACTGAAAAAAGGCTTCAGTAAACCCAAAATTATTTTTTTTCATCTTCCAGACATTGATATTAAGTAGGAGTGTAAAGTATGAGCCCTCATCCCATCAGAGCAGCAGCGTTAGCTAGAAACTGAATGTACAGTAGACTATGAAAATCACTGTAGTTTGCACCATCTCTGTCTGCTGTCACATTATCATAATTTTAGTCAATTTACACCAACACAAAGCACAATGCACTATAATTGATTGCATGTTGCTCAGTTATTTGAAGGTTTTATTTTTGAGACAAATTGTTTAATCTTGTCAGCAGGATTTGATGTTCAAAGTGAAAGAACATGAAAACAAGGCATCAAAACCCCACTCATTTTATTTTCATATGAACTACTAACTGAAACAATGTTATGCAAATTTTATGGATAAGGATTTAGTTTTAATTGGACCGAGGAAATAAGTACGGTTGGTATTCATTTAGTCAAACAAACAGGCAACTCATTTGCAGAGGAAGCATGATGATGATGATGATTATTCAAGTCAAGTGAAGTTTATTTGTAAAGCCCATTATCGCATTCAGTGTCTGAATCGTTTACATCAGCAATGATTCTCAACCCTGCCGCATTTATCTAAGCAGACGAACAAACGTCTTCAAAAACGATGCTTGACGCATGAAAAAAAAAAAGTGGCAAAAGAAACACAAATTGCAAAAATTAGACACAATTCAACAGTAGTTTTACAACTGGTTCAACACTGATGCGATAAACCCATTTTAAGAACTCCAATAAAGTGAAAGGGTTAAATGAAGCTCGATTGAAGTAAGCTACATTGAACTAGTCCGTGATTAGATCCGGTATCAGCTCCAAGGGGCAAAGTAGGTGCAGTGGCAATTAGGGAGAAGGGTGAGATGTGGGGCAGCTGATGAGTCAGCATGTAGTTGTGCTAAGCATACTGACTGAGGTGGCTTCTATGTGCATTTTACATGGTCTTGGAGTGTAAAAGCAAAAGCTAATTGTGCTCAGACACTTATTCCCTTTGACATTATTGCTGGAAGATCCACACACGGTGCAGTCAAACGACTGGCGGCTAGATCAGGATTTACTGTAGCTTCTTTAATTATGACAGAAAAATACAGAGGTTGCACAATCAAGCACAAATTAAATGCTTACCATGGCATTGTGTTTGAGGTACGTTTTGATGTTAAATAATACTATGTATATATTATACACTTATTAGAAAGTGCTGCCAGTTTGTTAGGTGCACCTACCTGTAGTCTACTAAAGCGGTGCTGCAATAAATCAATATTACAAACACCTCTCAGAATAACGACATAAAATTAAACAGCACCTCAATCCACAGCCTCCAAAATGACCATAAAGTTAAATCAACCCCTCTCTAAAACTGTTTCAACAAAACTGAACATTATGACCTTCATGAAAGTAGGATTTATTGCAGGACTGTTGCATTAGAC